TCCTCCTCCTCCTCCTCCTCCTCCTTCTCCTCCTCTATCATCATCATCATCATCATCATCATCATCATCATCATCATCATCTCACCTTTTTTATATCTGGGTATATACAGTGGGGGGTTTTCCACTCAAAATCAGCACTTATTTGTATGAAAGAAGAAGGGTAATGAACCCAAAGCATACATATGATATGTAGGTAGATTTGAAGTCCCAAATTTCTTAATTTGAAAAATGCGAATCTTGGAAGACAGGTAAGACAGTTGAGTTGGACTAGATAACATGGTAGAAGAAGATACAGAATGGAATGCAGAGGACTCAGGCAATAGAAATGAAGATCTTGTGAATGGAGGGGCAAGACTCTGGCCCTGCAGAGGTGAAACATGCATTCACATGTATTCAACTCTAAATATTCATATATTTTAGAGTTAGGGGACTAGTGAAGAAAGGGTAGGGCTACCAGGTGTGGGTTGCAAAACTCTGGATGTCCACTAACAGTAGCAAGAATTATAGTTCTCTTTGCTGTTCTCTAGTGGTTATTTGGATTGTTGCAGCCTTGGATTATTGTAGAAAGAGTGATGCAGGTTGAGTTTGACACAACAAATTGGGAGTGATAAAATCTGAAAGCATATTCATTTCTGTACAAGAAGAAAAGCCATCTCTTTGTGCTATACTTACCAGCCCTTGCACTTGGAAGTTTCAAAAGAGGAGAAATATCATACATACACATATACCCAGTATTGCAGATCCATAAGAAGGAGTGCCCTCTTGTCAGCCCTGCTAGATAGATCAGATCAGGAAATCAACTCTACAGGAAGACTAAAATGACTTTTATTGAAATTGGTTATAATAATAGAATCTTACAAGTCTGGTTATGCTGTATCTTATAGTTCAGTGACTTAGGCGGGCATCTGCCTGAGATGCTTCCGGTTGTTATTTCATAGCTCTGGACTTAAAAATGCTTCATCCCCTTTTGCCTAGGCAATGGTTCCTGCATATTTCTGTCAAGGTCAGCTTCCTTACACTGTATACCTCCTGCAGCAAGACTGGGCAACACGCGGTCCTTTATGGGGAGCTCGATTGAGGCATCATTGTTATCTGACATTGACCATGCTGTAACAGAATGTTCCCACAGGACTGACATAGAAAAATAGCCTGATGAGAATGCTTGCACCCCTCTTTTATTACTTTCAATACTAGACATGCACTTCAGAATATGCCACTTTCTATCAGTCATACTAAAAGCCAGAACTAAACCAAATCTAAATCTGATTGGCTTATTGGCTAGAATGTCTTTGTAAATAAGCCTTGAGAAAATGGCTTTGTATGGCTTGTGAAATGAGGAAGTAAACAAGTTTACAACTGTTGATTTCTTGTTTTGTCAGGTCAGGCAAAGCTGCAATGAATCCTCTGAACACTGGCAAAGCAGTAGTTTAATTAATTTAGTTGATGAGTCTGCAAAGGCGTATTTAGTTGACCTTTCAGGTTAGGTGCTGAAAGAAACTGCTTGTTTTCCAAACAATTTCTCTTCCATCTATATGAAAAGTGTATTTCTTTTTGTGCATTTAAAATCTCTGGGCTCCATCAGTTCTCTTCCTTCTCTTTTTTAGGACAGAGTAATCTTTCACTTTCATCTTAAAAAGGAACACCACTGGTCTCTTATTGAAAATCAAATATCCAATCCTCTTTCTGTATCTACATTTTAAGTAACTGATTAATCATTCCTTAAAACATTCTTCCCCAATATGTTGCCATCCAGATGTGTTAAGATTACAACTTCCAGAATTCTCAGCCAGCATAGCCAATTGTTGTTGTAGTCCCAACCAATTTGGAAATTTGGAGAAAGTTAGCTTCAGCATTTAGCATTGCACCAAAGAGTCCTTCCTTGCTGAAATGAATGCTGGGGAAGTCTTATGCATGATCATATCAGAATTCAATAAATATCTCCTATTTTTAAACACTCTAGTTCAAACATTGTACTAAACGATCATTTGGTTGGCTTGGTTTTGGTTCAGTTTGTTGTACGAACCCCATCGTGATTTATGTCATAATTAATGGTTTTCTATGGTATATGAATTTGACCTCTATAGCTTGTTCAGGGCATGTTTGAATCCAGCACTGATAAACTTATATTTTCATTTCTGAGTCACAAATGAAAATATGGAAACTATTGGTTGTATGCTGGGAATATTCCTGATCCCATAGCAAAACACTGAAAACCAATGACATATTTGCTCTTCATGGTTCTTGCTGGCATGCTTGCCTAGTTCACACAGGAAGGCTGTCAGTGCACAATGCAACAGTGGGTTTGTTCTTCAGCTGGCTTGTTATGGAGCTGTTTTGGAGCAAGGGAGAGTGACTGGCCCAAGGCCACTCAGCTGGCTTTCATGCTTAAGGGAAGACTAGAACCTGGCCCTTCTAATCCAGCACCTTAACCACTGCACCTCACTGCTCTCACTATTTATATAACCTCCCATTTATTCTGTTCATTGATCCTGTAATAGTGTTCGTATCCACTGCAGGTTATTTTGAATGTAACCAGGTATCTCAATATCTAAGCTATATAAAGGTATGTATGTGTTTTTATATTCCAGAGGTTAATTCTTGTACTTCTCTGTGTGTTGGCATGACACACAAACACACAGGCACATGTGTGTAGCAAAATCTACTGTCTGGAAAGATGACTTTGGGTAATAGATGACTATTACATAGCACTAGAATGAAAATATCATTCCCCTCTCTTCCCCTCCTGCATTTTAACTTCTAGAAAGCCAGAGGAGGTGGGCTGAATCTGGAAGAATTCAATCCAAAGAATTGTAATGAATCAGTTAGTGCACACTAACCAAAAGAGGGAGAGAGAGAGAAGAAAACACACTGAGAGCCTCCACACAGATGCAATTAATCCACTGATTTGCCAATTAGTCTTAACAGGAACCCACTGAGTCAGTGAGGAATAACTCGAGCACCTGTCCTTCCTGGTTAAGGGGACTGTATTTCTGCAGACTAAGTTTCTGCCTTTACCTATTTCAACCAATGCTACCAGCTGACGCTCCTTCTGTGTGCAGGCAGGGTGTACTAGAGACGGTTCTCATCTGAGTTTGGTTGCTATGGTTACATGCAATCTGCTGCGTTCTGGGTCTCTAGAACTAGAAATGATTGAGGGGAGGCAGGCATCAGAACCTTTAGGTAAACATCACCTTTCCCTTTTACGGAAGAGCTCTTGATCAAATCCATTTCTCTTCTTGTGCAGGAGTTGGCAGGTAGCATCCACTGGCAGAAGGGAATCGGAGTTGTAGAAGTACCTTTGTCACTTTGGGCTGATTGGAAAACAGAACTGACTGTGCTTGAAAGCTTTGCCTCCTCTTCTTTGAAGTTAGTTTGAGAACAAGAGTTGTTTGCTGCCAGGGGTGGGAGAATGCAGTTTTGCTGTCAGGACTCAGATGAAACGCTGTTGGATTTTGTAGGTGTGTAGGTCCATGTTTGCGTGCGGTATGTGAGAGAGAGATCTGACGTCTCAGCTCATGAATCTGAAGAAATGAGAATCAGTCTAATTAATTTTTTCACACAGTTTATTAATCCTTGCAAACCAAACTTTGAAAGGGTAGAAAGGTAGGGAGAGGAATGCTATTAATTAATTGAGCTAGACTCCCTTTTCTTTTCTATTAACTTCTATTTTAGTTTAATTTTGCTTACTACTACTTACTCTTTTTCTGTATTTTGCATAAACTTGCTTACGCGAAGTGTGATGGATGGATGGATGGTTGCACACACCCTCTTTCACACGCTGCAATGGATATATACGTATATATCTCTGTTAATAACTTTCCACCTCCCTTCAAAGCTAGAAAAGGTAAAACTCTGCTGCAGGCTTTATGCAAAATGATGTGAGAGCAAATCGCAATGTGAACAGGAGGACTTTAGTATTCAGCACAGTGATGCCAGCCTGGGGTCCCCCAGCTCTGTGGGATGGCAGCTCCTGAAATTCTCACGCAGCATGCCAAACCCTGGGAATGATGTCTGAAATATGCATCTGGTTGGGGAAGGCAGTGACTTCATTTCACATAGGCTATCTTGGTAATCCCTACAAAGCCACAAGAGGTAAGGTCATCCTTTATCTCATTTTGCAAACCTGACCCAATACCGGGATCTGAGCAGAATGAGATTTGAACTTGTCACTTTCCAGTTGGTAGCTTGCTCACTTAGCCAGTGTGCTGCACAGCTCCTTCTTGCTTGCTTCTGAAAAAACATATGCCAAAGAGGGCTGGAAAAACCCGACTCCCCTTCTAATAAAGGATAGCATGGAATATCCTGTGAACCAGCGGCATCTTTGTTCACAAGCCCACCCTTCCTAAGCTGCTTTGAAAATCATTTAGCTGGTGGATTTTTTGTTTGCTTCTTTTCAAGTAGCCCCAGTCTGGCAGACTCGTCTCTGAGGCTTTCCTTTGATTCATCTCGATTTTATCTGAGCCTCAGTTAAGGCACTTTGACATGGCATTGCCGAAATTACAAGTGTAGCCTGTCTTCTGTCCAAAATGAATTACTTTTTACTTGGCTTTTTGCCATCTGCTCTGCTGTTTGAAACTGACACTCTTGAGTCCTGTGTGTGTGTGTTGGGAAAGGATGGCGGTATCTGCTGAGCAGTGAGGGAGCGTGTAGGGGTGGGGTTTCCATCCTTTTATATTTCTCAACCAGTGACGTGAGCCGTGCCTTGAACAATCACGCTGCCTCAAAACACTGTAGTTGAAGATGCTTTGTATGAGAGAGACTGTGTGTTTGTGTGTGGGGGTATGTGTGGTGGTGGGGGAACCAGCTTGGTGCATCTTTAAGCAAACACTGATTGCTACAGCCTGAGCTTCACGGAGATTCTTCTCTTTCTAAAATTACCCTGAAGAGAATTGTTGCTCATTTTTCCCCTCTCGAAGCTCCCTGGCACTTTTATAGATACCAAATTCTATAACTCATTTATTTACTTTGCCGAAATGATTGGAGTTAATAGTGTGCAGAGTACCAGCAAAGTCCGGGTGAGAGCCACAGGTTCAGTGAAATATCCACGAGAAGACCCCGTCTGGCGGCAAACCCACCGCTCAAAGTCTATGAAAATTTCCAACTCCACGGAGTTTTCTGCTAAGGAAGCCAAGGTAAATGAATAGATGTATGGGTGCATGGGTGCATGGATGCATATAGATTGCCTCCATATTTGTGACAGTTGTAGAAGGAGAGGGCCAGGAGTATTATCAGTTGATGGTACCTTTTTTTTTTAGAACTTGAATGCATTCCTTTAAAAAATCATTGAAGGGAAGGAATAACCTGGGGGGTGGGCAGAATAAAAAAAAAACTGGATAGATTTTCAGAGTGCCTCACAAAATGTAACTGCATTGCATTGCATTGCATTGCACGGGTGGGTGGGTGGGTGGGTGGGGGACAGGGGTAGGAAAATAAATCTCTGGCACGTATATGCTGAAATCCTCTGTATATTGAATGGAGATGCCTTTTGCTTCTCCCCTGGCGTGGCTCTGTGTGAGTGGGTTGTATGATTCTGGTGGTATTCTTATAATACAGGGCTCAATATTGCCATGAAACATTCATTTTTACATTTTGTGTGTTTTCATGTGAATGGTTTTTTTGGGGGGGGGTCATCTCTGTATTATGTTTGTCACAGTAGATATTATCAAGCTGACTCCATCCACCTACTTCAGGAGCTATTTGAAGTGCCTTTAAAGTGTCATATTGTGTTCATTTTAGCTTGTGTGTGTGTATGTTGTTCCTTTTAAAAGCAATATTATATAGTTTCAAGAGCTGCTGAATAGTCCCATCCATACAGCTGGAATCTCTTTAAAGAGATTGATTCTCAGTTTGACCATTTCCCCTTCTGTCTCTTTCGTTTCACTGCAACATGCTACTAATGTTGTTTCACAAGTATGCTAGTAAGGAGGTGCAATAACCTGTGAATCTGCAACATTGCACATAAGATGCAAAGGCTCTTAATGCTGTCTAAACATGCAGGAGGGTTTATGCACTTATTCTCTTTTCTCTCATTTGTTCCCTCCCTCTGGGTTGATACTACCACCCGAGTGCCACGTTCTAAAGATCCATTTACATCAGAAGCCCACAAATTGGGATAGGGTAGATGTCAAAATCTTGGAGAAATGTAAGCATCTGTAACGTTGCTTGTAATTGTTCTGTTGTAATTCTTCAAGAAATATATTAAAGCTTTCTTGCTCCCTTGCAGGGAGGTTGAAAGGAGTAGAATTCTCAAGGTTGCTTACATGTTCATAGATGTTCAGTTTGCTGGTGAGTTCTTCGCCCACCAAGCGGTGTAATTATGAAAAAAATAAATAGTACCTTACTCGCAACGTCTGCATTTCGTGGCAAGGTCTACTTAGTTGCAGCAACTGAATGGTTTAATCAGGTGAACCTTCCTTATTAATAACTGAAGCTTAGCATGCTTGCTTGGATGACTGAAGCCCCCCAAGTGGGTTTCAAATGATTCCAGACAAATTACAGAAGCATTCCTAAAGAAAAAAAGCAGTGTGTTAATGATAGATCACATGTTCTGAAGGCAAAAGTTCTCAGTCTAATTCCTGGGATCCCCAAGTAAAACTGGAAGGACTTTCATCTTGAAACTCTGCAGAATGTTTGCTAGTGAATATCAGGAGCAGTGAGCTGGATGGAGCAAAGATCTGTCAAAATAAGGCAGTTTCCTACACTAATATCTTTTAATTAAGTGCCATCAGATGTGGTCCCACCCCCTTTTCTGAGAGAAGACCAAAGCTTGCTGATCCTGTTGTTGCTTAGCCCGATTCACACATCCTTATAACTCATTTACTATCATACCAACATCAAAGGTTATTCCTCACAGATGAAACTTTCATATCATTTGATGTCATTTCAAACAGGTACTTTTTAACTGGGGTTGTTCACTCACTCAGCAGATTAACATCAAATGTCATTTTCCAGAGAGGCAGACGTTTTCGTTCTTTGCAGCGGAGGAAAAAAGTGGCATATGGCTTCTTAAAGATGTTTAGTTTGATGATGTCTGGATAAGTTATCCAACTGAATTTAATGAAACTCTGTATGTGTATATTTAGATTGTTCTTTTTTTCTTCCTGTATCAAACATTATCAAGTCTATGATTAAAAAGTATAGAAAATAAAACACAAAATAAATGCAATTCTAAATAAAATCTAATATAATAAAACAAATCATTGAGCCAGTATAAAATATCATCTGGTAGAAGGTAGAGGTTGGATCAGGAAGGGAATGACAATTGACCTTCAGTCTGCTTTTGTGAAAGTCATTTAAATGTTCAGTGACATAGTTTCTTTTTTTATCCCTACCACCTGGCCCATCTGTATTATTCTTTCTACTTAGAAAGAGAACTATTAGCATGTAACTCTGCTAAGTGCCAGAGTGGATAAGAAGTGAATGACTAAATTTGGAGGGGAGGGAGAATCTGAGATATACAGGAAAAAATGGTTTCAAAATAATAACTCTTCCCCAACCGCCACACCAGTCTCATGTTAGTAGCGTATATTTAGAACAGGGTGGAATATACCAATGTCAGCTCTTAATCACTGGAATTTGGGATTATGCTTAAAATTATCATACCTCCCGAAAAGAACAAGTAGAGTAAGGGGAGCTTAACACAATTTATTACTGCTGTAATAAACTTGCATGGATCACAGTCTATTTCATCAGATGAATGGAGCATGGTGTAATTCTGAAAAAAACAGTAATATGGAGACAAAGGTTTGGAATCTCACTTTTTCATATAAATGAATGGCTATTATACAATCCAGGAGGTACAATAAGTGGCCTTGAGGATACTTTTGTGATGTGGAAGAGATTTGTCCTCCATCTAACTTTCAGTAATGTGGCTTCTCATTTACTGATTTACACTGAGAATTCTGCAGACGAAGTGCTGGCAAGACGTTGCTTATTGCAAATGTATTTGTAGGAGGGTGGGCTGGGGACATGCAACAGATGATTGCAACTTGAAGGAATGGGGACTTGAAGACAATCGTTACTGCTTGAAAAGGCTAGTTTTTAAAACATTATCCCTAGCAAGATGGGGAAACCATTTGGACTCTCTCAGGCAACATAATGTCTTAGTTTGGTACAACCGTCTGTCTTGATAGAACTATATTTTACACTGTTTTACACAAATGTTACACATTTTATCTGTTGGAATCATGTTGAAATTAAAACATTTACTTAGTTCCCCCCCCCGTAATACAGTCAGAAGTACTCCTCAATAAAAGCTAAATGATTATGTAACAGGAAGTCAGACAACCCAGTTTGAATTCTATTTTTCCCATCCATTCTCCCCAGTGAAAGTTTCTTCAGCCTTTTAATTGCTTTCTTTAAATTGTGCATTTGTTTATATGTTTGTGAAAGTGTATGTGTATATTATATTATGATTCTCACCAGCTCAAATCAATCTACTCAATCAAAAAATCAAATCAATCAAGCCTTTTCATTGAAGGTTATAGATCATAATCTACTATGCTGGTCCAATACAGTTTGATAGATGTTTGTTGATTTCCCATTCTAGGGCTGAGAGTGACTGGCCCAAAATTACCCAGCTGGCTTCCATGCCTAAGGGAAGAAGAGAACCTGGGTCTCCCTGCTCTTATTCCAGCACCTTAACCATTATACCACAATGGCTTATTCTCTCATTCATGCACACAGACATACAACACACACTTTAACGTTTTCTTTAGTTTTTTTTTAATGTTTTCCATAGTTTTTTTTTAAATGTTGCACACAATTTATTTCATTCCCTGTTGTTCAAGACTGGTTGCAATTTTCATTCAGCTAAAAATTGTGAAGTCGACAATTTGCCAAAGGCCCAAACTCTTTTGAGAGAGAAATTTTAATAATTGTACATTATTCAGACCTATAGTGCTGTGTCTATCGGAGACACTGCACTGTAATATAGTGTCACAGTGTCTTAACATATACAATTTCTTACCCTTTGACAGCTCTCCTGTACTGTACAGGGTTCCAACTGATGCCCCTTGAAAACTCCTATAAATCACCATTCTTCAACCTAGGCATCCTCCAGATGTGAGAACTTCCAACTCCATAATTCCCAATCCACTATTGACATTGCTGAAAATTCTGGAGTTGAAGCCCAGGTACCTGGAGAGTGCTGTGGTTGAGAAAGGCTGCTATCAGAAAAGCTTTTCCCAAGCTGATGCCCTCTAGAATGGTGGGTCTTAAGCTGAGGGTAATTACCTAAGGGGTAATTTGGTCATATCCTGGAGGTAATAGTAATGGAGCAATTAGTAATTGTTTGTGAGTTGAGGATCCAGTTTGGGACTGCCTCAGTTGTGTAAAACAACAATCTGTTTTTAAATGGGGGTAACATGATTTGAGACCGGGAAAGGGGTAATTGGGTCAAACAGTTTAAGAACCACTGCTCTAAAAATATTGGTACTACAGTTCGTGGAATTCTCAGAAACACGGTTGTTGCTCTGGGTAGCCATAAAGTTTGACAGCTGCAGGCCACCAGCCTAGGACAGCCTTTGAAGAATCTATTACTCCCATGCTTCCATGTTCTATATTTATTTTTCAAGTGACAGCCAACGTTCCGTACTTCTGAGCAACTGAGCAAGATAACCACGGAGTCTTTCTGGTCAATGTTGGATTGTTGGACAGATTGCACATTTCTTAGAAGATGATTTTATTCTTCTGCAAACCTTTTGATTCTTTCTAGCATGGTGATTTCTTCATGGTCCCTCTGCAGCACCTAAGTCATTATTTAAAGGAGTACAAGAAAACAGGTTCAGATGCATTTTCCATGCACTATTTATCTTCCTATAGGGCTGCTATATTTTGCTTCTGATATTTCTAGGTATGTTAGATGGCATATCTGTGGGCATCCCCATAAAGTGTTAAAACTATATTTGAGTATGTGCAAAATGGTATTTTTTCCCCTCTGGAAACATCTTTTTAATGGTAACAGCAGAACATTCTTTTGAAAGGGTCCTGCCTTTTATTTTAAAGGAATGCACCTAAGGAAATAAAAAATCACCCTTTGGTTTATGTATTTTCTTCTTCTAACCAACAGCATGATGGCTAGGCTACTGGAAGCTCTACCTTCCTACACTTTACACTTGACCTCTACAATTCA